TCTGTGGAATGGCTACACAAGGCAAACACAGGCACAGCGTGAGATTGAAACAGCTGTATCTCATTATATCCTATAAAATGACATGGCACGCACACACGCACAAAGCCCTGAAACGATCATCTCACTTATGAAGAGGTCTCCCTCTATTTTACTGGAGGATCTAGGCGTTTGTGAAGGGGTCTCAGAGATATCTAAGGGCTTAAACTGGGCTCTCAGCCCATGCACAAAGTGCCTTTCTCTTCCTCACAGTCCAGAAAAAGCCTTACAAAGGAGCTTCAAATATCTAAAATCAATTTATATTATTTTGTGTGTAGGTTCACGTGTGGAAGTCAGAAGACAATGTATGACAGCTGGTTCTCTCCTTCTACTGCATGTGTTTGGAGATGGAACTCAGATAGTTAAACCTGGCATCAGGGGTCCTTTACCTTCTGAGCATCTCATGAGTCCAAGGATTTGTTTGTTTTCAGACAGAGTGTCATTATACAACCCTGGCTGGTCTTGAACTTGCTTCATAAACCAGGTCTTGAATTTGCATCAATCTTCCTGCCTCTGCTTTCAGAGCGCTGAGATTATAGATAGGAGCCACCGTGTCCAGCTCTTGCTTCACTGAGACCACGCTCTAACATGGGTTACACTCCCTGTCTTGGAAACTTTCTTGAACTAACACCAATAATATAGAGGTGGTTTTGTGTATCAACCCCCACCAGCCCCATCAGACAAAGTTTGGCCACGCAGTCCAAGATGGTCTTATATTCTTTTCTATTTTTTACATTTATTTTGGGCACAGGAGAGGAGCAAACTGTGGCCTGTATGTGCGTTCAAGTATGCACATGAGTCTGTGTGTTTGTGTTCAAGTGTGGGTGCAGACCAAGGGGATCGCTTGAGAGTTAGTTCTCTCCTCTCACAATGCAGTTTCTGGGGATCAGCTCAGGTTGTCAGGCTTGTCTGCAAGTGCCTTACCCTGGCCTTGAGTTCTTGGTTTTTAGCCTTCACATCCCAAGTGTTGGAATTATTGTCTGTACCCAGCTTAAAGGTTCCTCTGTCTGCTAAAACAGTTATCCTACACCTATTTTCAAATTGTGGAATGCTGTTCATATAACAATATCCGTTATCACACTCAGAATTTATGCTATTATTTTTGAGAAAGGGGTTTGCTAGGTAGTCCAGGCTGGCTTCCTGAGTTCTGGAATTATAGACATGAGCTGTCATGCCTGGATTTAATTTACACTATTTTGACATTATTTTAGTCAGGGTTGGGGATGAGATTAGCTTCGGTAACCAAAACCTTCAATCAAGTTGTGAGTTCCTCCATCTCTATTGTGAACAATCAGAAAACTTTTTTTTTCCCTTGGTGCTCTGACTTAGTATAGTGCTTAGAATAAAGTACTTTGGAAAACAAAAGAAAACCAAGACTAGAAACATGATGTCAAACAGCAAGCAACTACAGTGATCAATTGCTTAAAGTCAGGGCATGTTCTGAAAAACTGCATTGTGCACACATTACAGAGCACAGTTAAAGAAACTAATAACGTTATGACATCACTTGAGAATAAACTCGTGGGCTGAGAGATGGCTCAGAAGCTAAGAGGACTTGTTGCTTTTACCCAGAACTCAAGTTCAGTTCCTAGCACCCATACGGGGATGCTCACAACATCCTATAACTCCAGCTCCAACACCTTCTTTTGCCCTCCCAGGGAGCCCACACATATATGGCATGCAAACATACACAAAAATAAATCTTTTTTTTTTTTTAAAGGAGAACATAATGACTGTTCTTGGTACGCAATGTGTCTGCCGTGCTCGGACTCGTTAGCTTCACACCGTGCACACACAGCTAAGTGGTTCCTGAGCTTTTAGTTTTGACTGTACACTTATCTTTGACACAAAGGTCTTCCACAGCCCGGTGTGATCTGACCACTGCGTATGTTTCCCCGTGTCGTTTTTCTTCCTTTCAGCTCTTAACTACACTAACAACTTTCTGGACTGAGAACCTGGAGCTGACCAGACACTGCTATACTCCAGCTCTCAGGTTAAGCATCAACCCGTGCGGCAAAGCCTTAAAAGGCGGAGAAAACACATGGCCTTTCCTCCGCCCGCCCACCCTGCCGACCGACGGCCCAGCCCTTACTAGGTGGGGATGAGAAGGCATTTGAGGAGCGTCACCCCGAGAGCCAAAGCCGAGAACCAGTGGCCACTACGGGTGCCGAGAGCAGACGCCGCCATTCCTGGATCTCGTCACTTCCGGGACGCTGCGCATGCGGGTGAGACTTTTGGGGCGGCGCCGACGAGCTCTGCGCATGCGCCGACTGCTCCGGACGAGCCCGCCGGCGTTTAAATCTCCCGCCCGGTCTCCGCTGCCTCAGGAATTAGGTGGACCTGCCCAGATCTCTGCGGTGACATTATTCATTTTGATTGTTGTTAGTACGTACTTCTAGTCATATAGTGGCTGTCTGCTTTCGGTCTTGATTTTTGGTTAGTTTGGGTTACCTACGTGAAAAACAAAAAACCAGAGATATTCAAAGTGGTAGTGGAGACAGCTGTGAGCCGTGAGTTACACGGGTGAAAGTGCTCAGAGGAAGAATGGCGAAGGCCCTTGGGGGCCGGAAGTTAAGTCCAGGTGCAGAATGCTCTGAGCAGGGAGACGGAGCTGAAAACCATTCTGATTTTAGCAGCGCCGGGCTAAGCCCTCCGTACAGCCCCTGCCCCAAGCAGAAGGAGGCCAAAATCGAACACTTAGCACATTTTCGTTGTGGTAGTCGGTTCCTTCATAACACCTGCATTTTCCTGACCCTTCCTTTACATCTCTCTTGATGTTGGAGATTGAATTCTCAGGGCTTCACGTTATTAGTGAGTTATATCCCCGCACTTATATGCATTTTAAATTTTTATTTATGTATTTTGAGGCAGGAGCTCAATATGTTATAGCCCAAGCAGCCTCAGCCTCACTCTGGAGTCCAGGCTGTCCTTGAATCTTCAGTCCTCCTGCCTTAGTTACCAAGTAAATGACATTCACAGGTTCTGGGGACTAGGACTTCGGTATCTTTGGAGCGTGTTCTCTGATTTACCACATACCTCACACTTACAACCAAAGCTGATTTCCTGATTTTCAGTATTATCCACTTAGAGGAGGTCATCAAATATCCAGTTTGCAGCGCACAATGCCTGTCTGCACTCTATGCGCTAACATTCAGTTCGTGAGCTTCGGGCAAGGGGATGGAGATTGAAACACACAAAGAGACACAGATCTCTAGTCACTGGTAAGAAGCCTCTCATTCAACAGCACCACGGAGGCTTATATACTCAACACAGTCAGGTGACCAACAGGTGAAAACCTTATCCTCTGATCCTCAAGGCCAAGGCAACACTTGCTCGTGAAGCAGAGCTGGTAAACAACTTTGACACAGCTTTCAGTAACTCAAATCAGAAGGAAAGTAAAGATCTCTAGCAGGGAAGAGCAGCTGGAGGCCAGGACTCCAAATGGTCCCAACACAGTTTCCCTCCCTCCCACACCTGTTCAGTTTTCTGTGTCACTCACTGTGAAATGATGGTGCTTTCCTATTTGAGAGGGGTTCCTCTGTTACCCAGGTTAATCTTAAACTCCTGGGCTCAGTAATCTTCTCTCCTTGCTGTTCTAGCAGGCTCTCATCATTCTACTCCCCACCAGCAATCTCACGCTTCATTGTAGGGGTCTGGTTGGCCTCCGGGGAGCTTACTGTTGCAATCTACCTGCCTGGGAACCTAGTTCCTGCTCCTTTTTGTTTCTGTGTTTTGAAAAAGGAGTGTTACCTAGGTTAGCCTTGGAGTCCCCAACCTCCTGAGCTTCCTGTGAGCCACTATCTCTTCCTCTTCCTCCTCTTCCTCCTCCTCCTCCTTTCCCTTTCTCCCCTTCCTCTTTCACCTCCTCTTCTTCCTTCTCATCTCCTTCCTTTTTCAAGGCAGGGCCTCACTATTAAGCCTCTGTTAGTCTAGAACTTCCTATCTGGAACTAACTTGTAGGTCAAGCTGGCCCAGAGTTGCAGCAACCATCCTACCTCTGCTTCCCAAGTGCTTGGTTTACAAGTATTACTGCCATAGCAGGCTAACTCATGTGTTTTTTTAAAAGACATTTATTTTTATTTTATGTGTACAAATATTTTGCCTGACTGTATATATGTGCAACCCATGTGTGCACTGCCCAAAGAGCCTTCAAGAAGGTGTTGGATACTGTGGAACAGAATCACAAGTGGTTATAAGCTGCTAAGGACATGCTGGGAACTGAACCTAGGTCCTCTGGAAGGGCAGCCAGTGCTGTTAACCACTAAGCCATTTCTCCAGCCCCCTGGCTTATGTTTTTTACTCAACGACACCTGCATTTTACTGACCCTTCCTTAATTCCTCAGAACCTGGATAGTGAATTAATTCCTTTTCATCTTCTCTGGTTCATTATGCATGAAATCCCACCAGCATGGATTAGCACTGTGTCTCAGTAGTGGAGTGCTAGCCTAGCATGCAAGAGGTCCTGTGTTTGCTCCTTAGCACTGGGGAAAAATCTTACCACTGTTTCTCTGTTCAGTCCTTGTGTTGAATCGCTTTATGGTAACTTGACACAAGTTATAGTCATCAGATAGGAGGGGACTTCAATTAAAAAAATGCCTCCATAGCTGGCAGTGGCACATGTCCTTAATCCCAGCACTCGGGAGGCAGAGGCAGGTGGATCTTTCTGAGTTCGAGGCCAGCCAAAGCTATACAGAGAAACCCTGTCTCTAAAAACCAAAAAGAAAAGGCCTAAATAAAATAGATAGGATCATAAGCAAGTCTGTGGGGGCATTTTCTTAGTGGTTGATGTGGGAGGTCCATTGTGGGTGGTGCCATTCAGGAGCCAGTGGTCCTGGGTTCTATAAGACAGTAGGCTGAGTAAGCCATGGAGAGCAAGCCAGTTAACAGCTCCCTCCATGGCCTCTGCAGCAGCTCCTGCCCCCAGATTTGTCCTGCTTGAATTCTTGTCCTGACTTCCTTCAGTGATGGACTACGATGTGGAAGTGTAAACCAAATAAACCCTTCCTTCCTAAGTTGTTTTGGTCATGGTGTCTTATCCTATCAGTAATAATGCTAACCAAGACAGTCCTCACGTAGGAAAATGTATGTGTCTTTTGTGTGTCTCTTGCATATTCAAACCCGCCTCCTTAGCTAGGTCTTTGTTGTTTATTTATTCCTTCTTTCCCTCACTCCCTTCCTCCTTTGTTTCTGTTTGTTTTGTTTTGGAGGAAGGATCTTACTGTGTAGCCAGAGCTGCCTTAGCTTCCTGAGTACTGGCTTTACCAGGCTGTCACCACACTTGGATGTATCTGAGATTTCTGAATCTTGTGTGCGTGTGTGCGTGCATGTTCGTGTGTGCACGAATGCATGCTCACTTGTATGAGTGTACATTTTGTGGTATTGTGTGAGATTCAGGGCCTTGGCATGCCTTACCATTGAATTACACTTCCCATAGGAAGCAGGGCCACCACAAAGCATTTTTGTCAGGGCTTTAGTCATGGTTGCATTGCCAGTGTTCAGGGTCTGTGATGATTCATCTCTGCTGTAGGATTTAGAATCCCCTAGGAGATATACCTCTAAGCCTATCTTTGAGGGCTCGTCCACAGAGGTTAACTGAGAAGGAAAAATACCCTGAATTAGGTAGCACCAGTCACTGAGTTCAGGCCCGGTTAAAGAGAGAAAGGGTGCTGAGCACCAGTATTTTCCTGCTCCCTGACTGTGGGTGGATGGAACTTGACCAGCTACCTTGACTACCCGCAGCCATGCCTGCCTTACCACGATGGACGGTGTGCCCTCAAACCGTGAGCCAAAATAAGCCGTTCCTTCCTTAGGCTGCCTCTCGCCAGGCGTTTGGTCACAAGGCCCCCAAGTCTTAGTAGTCCCCCAGATCTTAGCACAGCTTACTTGGTACTTCCGTGATGGAAGTATTAGTCAGGTCATAAAACTCAGTACACAGCACCGCCTGCCAAAAGGAAAACAAAGATCTCATTCAACAAAATCCATCATTCTGGGAAAGTCTCTAAATGTACTAACCTTGCATTTTGGCTTCTGTAATTCTGCCCCTGACTCACAGCTCTTGCCATGCCAATCCAGGATATGGTTTTTGTGTTTAAAAGGCCACCCTGAGGAAGGCTCAGGGCTCCATTGGTGTTCCAGGGTAGTCGCCAGCCCAGCTAATAAAGACTTCCTCTTGGCTTAAACCATGTGCAGGTCATCTTTGGTGGACACCCCACAGTAACAAGAAGAAGAACAGTGAACCATGCAGGGTCCACCTCGAGGCCAAAGGGGCGGGGCTGTGCAGGTCCAGCTGAGCCCCTGTCACTCACTTCGTCATCAGTCTGCTGTGTCAATAGCTAGCATTGGAATTTGTTACCAGCCAGATGGGCCATATCTGTGAGCCTGTCGTTCAGCAAGTCAAGGCCGGAGAACTGAGAGTTCAATGTCAATCTGGCCTAGGTAAAAAACAAAACAAACCAACCAACCAACCAAACAAACAAACAAACAAAAACAGAAAAAAGCTTTATTCTTGGTGTAGTAGTTCCCATCTGTAATCCCAGCACCAGGGAGGCAGAAGAGACATCATCAAGTGTTCTAGCCCAGAGCCTGGGCTATTAAGTGAGACTCTGGTTTGACAACACACACACACACACACACACACACACACACACACACACACACACCAGAGAGACTCCTCCTTCCCTGCACGTTCTTTTGCTACCAGGACCTCAGTTTCAGCATCCTTGCTAACATGTTTGCACAATCATCTCTTCCTTGTGGTGGACAATATCTGTTTTATCCTATTTGCTCAATCTGTTTCATTCTGCCTTGCCTAGGTTCCTACTTCATGGCATCCCCATAATGGATTAAACAACTGAGGGCTCGGGAAGAGGAACTTTATCCAGAATCAGCATCATCTCATGGCTTCCTTCAGACAGGGGCTCTAGTGTAATCATTCTGCTCGTAAAGGGGTAAGTGGTTTCCCTGAGAACTGGTGTCATGCTGAGAACTGAGCAGGGGCCTTCTACAGGCTTTTGATTCAGAAGGGTAACCATGATGTCAGCTTTTGTATCAATATACAAGAATCTATACCAATATAAATTGCTTGTAAATAATAGCTCACAAGTATCCACTCTATTACTCACTATTATTATTAGTGTGAGTAAGCTCACAACAGTCTACCTATTATCCCATTCAATTTCTGTCTTTTTTTTCAAAGAGATTCCTTAGCTTACATAATTTCCACCCCAACTCCCAACCCTGAGGACAAACTTTATTGGGAGAGGAGACGTCAACTTCTAGAATTACTTCCAGCTGGGGACGATGTTCTTTCTGTGGGATCCTGTAAAAGTAAAATAATAGTTAAGTTTCAAGATTACTCTCTGGTACAATTGCAAATGGTCTTTGAATAGTCAATATGGTTTTCCTGAGGTTCCTATTTGGAGTTCTGGCCAGAACGTTGTAAGAAGGTGCACCATTTCAGCTAACCAAGTTGTAACCATCTTGAGCAGCTGGTACCCAAAACTGGCCTTAAAGTAGCGCTATCAGCATCATGACGCCATATCCACCAGGTGGAGTTGTTGTGGTGTTTCTTCCTGGAAACTTCAAAGATGACTGGAGGAAATTCATTGTTCATTGTGGAAAATGTTAAAATTATTTATACAGACATATATTCAATGAAAGATAAGATATAGACAAAATAGGTATGGAGAAAAGTAAAATTTTTCCTAAAATCTTCCTTCTTTCTGTCTCATACCAGATGGCTACTGACCTAAGACAGAAACTCTGAATTTTTCTTTTAATAACATGCTCGGACTTAGAGAAGAATAGCCATTGTCCAACTCCAAAGCCAGCTCTATGTATTTATGTCCTCGTAAGTCATACTCCTCTTTGCCTGGTGATCCTTCCTGGATAGTTTTTTTTCTCTCTTTAGGTATCCAAACGTCCAGGGGCTCTTGACTTTTTGAAGATGTGAGTTTTCCTGCAAAGACAAGAACAGAACCCTGTCCCAATCCTTATGAGGTTTCCTTACCACCTGTATGATTGTCACCTCTATGGATGAGCTGCCATTTCTCTGTCTCCTTTTCAAGTAGAATCTTTATTAATTTTTATGGTACCCATAACTTTTCTTATCCTGTGTAAACAAGAGCAAAACCCTTTCTCCAACCCCTTCTCCATCTCCTGGTTTCCATTTTGAGGTCCAAACACCCTTGAAATACACTGGCTGATCTAATTCAGAAGATTTTTTTCTATTGTCCAGTGTCTCTCTTCTGCCCTTGCTCCTTTCTCATTAGGGTTAAGAAAATTCAAGGTTAGTAAAGCATTATACAGTCTATTTCTGAGGGTATTTTCTGTCCCTTTCTGTTTGTTTAGCATGTCCTCTATAGTTTGATTTGATCTTTCTATAACTGCCTGATCTGTAGGATTGTTTGGTATACCTGTAATATGCTTTATACTATAATAAGCAAAAAATACTTTTGTTTTCTTAGAGACCTATGCTAAACCATTATCAGTCTTTATTTGTGCAAGTATACCCATGATGACCAAAACTAATAATAAATGTGTGATTACTGGATTCAGCCTTTTCTGAGCTCAAGGCAGTGGCCCATTGAAAACTTGAATAATTGCCAATGGTGTGGTGTATATATTTTAATTTCCAAAGTTCTGTAAACTGAAACACGTCCATCTGCAAAATTTCATTCCTTTGTTGAAAGAATACCCTTTGAGATACTCCCTGCAGGTAGCAGTGTTTGGTTATAGAAAGAGCAAGTAGGACATCTCTTTATAATCTCCTTAGCTTGTTGACATGTAACAGAAAACTCTTTCTTTAAACCTTTCCTATTGACATGATGTTTCTTATGAAATTCTGAGACCTTCAGCACACTTCCCATCAATAATCAGTCAATTCCTGCATTACCTTGTGCTAGAGAACCTGGCAGACCTGCATGGGATTGGATGTGTGTTCTATATATGGGACAAAGCCTATTCCTGATTATATCTTGAGCCTAAATGGATAATGAAGTCAATTCTGTATCATCTGGTATAAATTCAGCAGTTCAATATGCAAGACAACTTTTTCTACTTATTGCGAATCAGTAACTATATCAAAAGTTTCTTTAAAATCCCTGAGTACCATGAAAATAGCATAGAGCTCTGCTTTTTAGATAGAATTATAAGGATTTTGCTCTACCTCACTTAAATCTGATTTGTAACCTGCCTTTCCTGATTTATTTGCATCAGCATAAAATATATGGGCTCCAGTTATTTGTACCTCACGTGCAATTTGGGGAAGAAACCAAGTTGTTCTCTTTATAAGGTTAATTCTATTGCTTTTGGGATAATTGCTATTAATTGCTCCTTAAAAAATTAGCACAAGCTCTTTGCCATGGTTCATTGTCTTCCCATATTTTTTTTTAACTTCATCAGTAGTAAAAGGCACTATAATCTCTACTAGGTCTATTCCTGATGATAAAGTCTCAATTTTACTTTTATAATTAATTCAGAGACTTTTTCCACATAAGTTTTAATTTTTTACTGGGTTTATGTGGTAAAAAGATTCATTCTAAGATAATATCTTCCTTCTGCATTAAAATTCCTGTTGGAGAAATTCTGGAAGGCAATATGACTAGAATGCAATTAAGATTTGGATCTACCCTATCAACATGAGCCTCCTGTAATTTCTCTTTAACAATCATTAATTCTTTTTCAGCTTCAGCTGTTAATTCCTGGTACTACTTAAGTCTTTGTCATCATCTGAGGTTTTGTTTAAATGAATTATTAGATCAGGTGTTATAGTCAGTCATAGACTGGAAATGTTTCCTAACAATCTTTGAAAGTCATTAAGAATCTGTAATTGTTCTCTCCTAATTTGTGCTTTTTTGTGTTCTAATTTTATAAACCTATTTTATAACCTAAGTAATTGACTGAATCTCCTGTTTTGATTTTTTCGGGAGCCATTTGTAATCCCCATTTTGGCAAAACTTTCTTTACTTCTTCAAACATTTTTTCAAAAGTATCTGCATTTGAATCAGATAGCAAAAATGTCATCCATGCAATGGTAAATTATAGACTTAGGAAATTGCTTACATATTATTTCCAGTGGCTGACTTCCAAAATATTGGCATAGGGTGGTGCTATTGAGCATTCCCTGTGGGAGGATGGTCCACTGGTATCTCCTAGCAAGCTGAGAATTACGATAAGTAGACAGTGTGAAGACTAAGCTTTTCTCTGTCCTTTTCTTGCAAAGGTGAAAAGTGAAATAGTGAAGAAACAATCTTTTAAATCAATAACTATGAGAGACCATCCTTCCAGTAATAGAGAAGGCAGAGAAATTCCAGATTGTAGAGGACCCATAGGTTGAATTACCTGTGGACAGATCTTAGATCTGTCACCATTCTCCATTTTCCAGATTTCTTTTTAATAACAAATACAGGAGAATTCCAAGGGCTTGTTGATTCTTCGATATGGTGAGCATCTAGTTGCTCCTGTACCAGTTGTTCTAAAGCCTGCAGTTTGTCTTCTGTTAAAGGCCATTGTTTAATCCATATTTGTTTCTCAATTAATTATTTTAAAGGTAGGGTCATTATTACTTCTGAAGGTTTGCTAGTTGCTTTGTGTTCTTGTACAACCTGAATGGCTGGTGACTTTGTTTATAATACCTTATAATATCCTTCCCAGAACCATGAGTCTTTGGTACCGCAGGAATGTTAATCTGGGTATTCCATCGCTGCAACAGGTCAAAACCCCAGAAATTCACTGCAATATTAGCTACATAATATATCCTTCTGGCCCTATGCATTCAACCCATCTCACGCTTTGTTTCACTTGAGATAAGATTTCAATTCCTAGGAATTGAACATCTGCCTCTTGAAGAGGCCAATTTGGATGCCAAGATTTTGTAGTAATGATACTCACTTCTGTATCGATGTCTAATAACCCCTCAATTACGACATTATTTATATGCATTCTTAGCTTTGGTCTTTGATCATTTATAGAAGTCTGCCAATATGTGTTTCTTATTTCCTAATGGAGTTTTTGATTCATCCTCCATGTCTATTCTATCATCCAAAACAGTATGGTTCTTTACAGTAGGTACTGGATTGTTTAATTTTCCTGGTGAGACATGTTCTCTACAGTGACTGGGAATGACTGGACCATGTTTGACATGGGGGCCTGCGAGATGCCCCCACAAGGAGTTTTCTGGTAGTATTGGGTTGCTTTGTCTCTCTTTTGTTGATCTACATTCATTGTTCCAATGTTGGTCTTTGCCACACCTCCTACATATTCCAGAAGGCCCAAGACTGCCTGTTCTTGCGATTCCCAGAGGAGACATTATTACTCGAAATTCCTTGTCTACAGTCCCTTTTTAGATGTCCTATTCTACCACAATTTGGCATTTTGGTGTCTCCTCATGCCATCAGAAATAGCTTCTTCTACCCTATCCTCAGCATGATAGTCAAATGTCTCAACATTCATTGTATGCAAGATCCATTCATCTATTGACGCTGATCTGACATTTAAAGGTCCATGGATCTTTTAAGATGGAATTTTCAAAAGCCAGGATTCAATAAGTTCATGTCTAGCTTTTGGGTCTGTTACTCTTATTTGTACAGCCTTAGCTAATTTTTGTGAAAAGTCACTAAAGAGTTCTTTCTGATTTGTTTAACCCTAATATATGATTCAATTCTCTCTCTCTCTTTTTTTTTGTTCTTGAATCCTGTCCCAAGCATTTATGTGCTACATAGGGGCAAGTGTTATTCATCATAGAGAGTCGAGTCCTGAGAATCAGAGCAATGACTCTCACCAAGAGTTTGATCTTGGGAAGCCTTGAGTACTTTTGCTTTTCCCTGTTGTTCTAAAATTTTTGCTTCTTCTCACCAATAGCATTCCATAGCAGTTGGGATCCATTTTCTAGGACCACTGAGATTAATTGAAGCCAATCTTGTGGGGTAGCTTTATTGCTTGAAGCCCACATTTTCACCATTTCCCTAACAAATGATGAATGCAAGCCATAAGATACTATTGTTTGTCTAATTTCTTTTAGGTCGCTCACCCCTCTAGGTTGTTGTCTATATTCTTTGACTACCTTAGGGTATTTTGTGCCAGATGGCTTCTCAGGGGCTATTACCAGAAAGGCAGCTAAAACTGGGTAAACCATCCTGGACTCTGGCACGAACTGGTGAGGCTAAATCCTGTCCTTGCACCTTCTTTCCCTGCTCATCATTTTTTATAATTTCCTCGATCTTTTCAATTCTTTTTACCATGGCCTTTTGTAAAGTCAGAATCTCCTGTCCAGTGTTCTATTCTAATGCCCTCATTGATGATTCCAAAGCATGAAATTTGTCCAGTAAAGATAACATCTCATCCTTGGAAATAATTTTAATGGTGTGCATATTGCTTTCCTGGAGAGATACCTTATCTGTTAAGCTATCATAATTTTTCATCAGATTCCGATTACTAAATTCAGTAGCATGAATTCTTTCAGATAATGTCACAGTACCCTTCAGCATTGATTGGATTTTGTCTGTCAAATCAATGTTATCCTTTTCAATAATATTAATTTTGTCAACTAGCTGTTCATTATTAGTCTGTAAAGACTATAACATTTTAAAAGTGCCTCATTCTTGGCTCTGTTATCAAAACATTTTTCAATGATATAATATGAAAAACAAAACTAATTCTGAAAATCAAATAAATGGATGTATAAGGAAAATCACACAAGCTTTGCAGAATACCATCCATAGTATAAGCAAAAAGGTTATTAAATTCCTGAATGGTAATATTGTCTGTAATTGTATCACTTTCAAATTCATTAATTTACTTACCTTTGTTAGAGTTTAGTAAATTGTGATAGATGTAGTACTCTTTATTGGCCAGCAGGTGTCGCGGTTGCAGCTGCATGGTGGAAAGATGTGACCAGCGGTGGCTCCACGCGTTGCTGCCTGGTTAAATACTGACAAAAATGCTTTGCCTGAGAAATTTAAATCAATTAAATCAATTCTGTACACTGAACAAGGAGTCTAGAGTTTGCAAGCAGGGGACACAAACAGGAAGCTTTGCGTGGCTTTGTGCAGCAGGGAAAACAGCAGGGGAGATGAGGGCAGCGTACACAAGCCGGGATTATTGCCAATTTGCCTGCACAGTGGCTCTGCTGGGGCTGTGGTGGGGTTTGGCAAAAAAGCCATTTAGTGGATGAAATCAAGCCAGGCAGGCAGAGGTGGGAGACCTGTTTTGTCTATCCCCGTAGATGTGGAGTTGGGATTCACCTGGGTGCCAGATGAAGATGGAAGGTATAAAATAATCCCACACTACCTAAGAATTGAGTATAATAAAGGGTTATTTATTTAGGGGTAGACTCAAAGATCACAGTCCTCTGCATGGGCGGGAAACAGAAACTGAATCCAGAAGCCAGGAGAGAGAGAGAGAGAGAGAGAGAAAAAGAGAGAGAGAGAGAGAGAGAGAGAGAGAGAGAGAGAGAGAGAGTGCGCATGCACTTTTTGTTGGCAGTTGTCATTTATAGTTTAAGAGATCATGTCCAAATGTGCTGGTATCTTAAAGGCTACTGGCTGAAGGAGTTCCTACAGCAATCATCCTCATAAAGTTATATTTAAAATCGTTTTCTTGTGTTTCTTCTAGATTCGGATGATCCATGTTGCTTCTTAGGTTGTTGAGTGAATTCTTGCATTGGTGTCTACACATCTCTTCCTTCAGTTGGTGTCGGCAGTGTCTTTGCCTCTTGGTCCAATCCTTGCAGTGGCTGTCTGTGTCTTTGGGAGCTGTTCTTGGTCTGCTCTGTACTGTCGCTGTCTGTGTCTCAGAGAGGCACTGAGGTCTCTCTGGGCCCGCTCTGTTGGTCCACTCTGTGCAATCCCAGCCTATGCTGCAGAGTTCCTCTCTTGGTCCTCTCTGTGTAGTTGCAGCCTGTGTTTCAGAGTTCCTCTGAGGTCACAGGGGAGGGAGTAGTAGGAGAGTTTGGGAGTGGAGTGGGACTTGTAGCTCACAGGATCCAGTCGATGGGACGGGAGTGTTGAAGCAGCCTACCTGCAGGATTCTTGCCTGCTGACTCAGAGCATCAAGATTTACACTTGACCTTTTCTACAATAACGGCTGTAACTTCTCATGTCAGGAAGCCAATGTGAAGGTTCTGATATTTGCCAAATGCACCTCCACCGATCTTTCCTCTCAGTAATTGGAGGACTAGCTGCAGAACGGGTCGAGAACATATTGAATCATTGTGAAATGGACTTGGGTTAAACATCTTTTTATCATTTGGCTCCTATAATCTGAATTCATCATCTAAAAGTGGTTGATAGTCCTGTCACTTAGAGTTTAGGAGCCTATTCAGTGATAACTACAAGCACTAACAGCCAGCAGCTCTTGGAAGAGATAGTGTGGGTGTTCGGAAGCAAATGTGCTGGCCCGTCTTTCTACAGACATCCTGGCTCTCCTCGGAGTCATTTCCTTGACTCTTGAGGGTTTTTCCTTCCCCAGATTGCCCTTCACAGTGCAGTATAGTTATTAAAAATGAGGGCTGAAGATTTATCTAATTATTCTTTATCAATAAAAAATTGGAAGTCAGGGGGCTGGAGAATTGGCTCAGTGGTTAAGAGCATTGCCTGCTCTTCCAAAGGTCCTGAGTTCAATTCCCCACAACATGGTGACTCACAACCATCTGTAATGAGGTCTGGTGCCCTCTTCTGGCCTGCAGACATGCACACAGACAGAATATTGTATACATAATAAATAAACAAAAAATTGGAAGTCAGATATTGGGGTAAAAACCTGAATGATTGGAGAAGTGGGGAAGCCACCAATCACTTCCTCCCTCTCCTATAAGAGTCAAGATCCTTTAAGCCCTGCCTTACTACTTCCTCAGTCCTCCAAAAACTTTGTGGTTTATGTGGCTAGCTCTGCCCTCTGCTTTCAAAACAAACTTTGTAGTCAGAATGCAATCAAAATCTCACACAGCTGAAGACTGGGGTGTGTATGTGGAGAGACGGCTCAGTGGTTAAGAGTCCTTTTGCTCTACAGAAGACCCAGTTTTAAGTCTCAGCTCCTAGCTGGCGGCTCACAACATCATAACTCCAGTTCTAGGGGATCCAACAACTTCTTTTGACCTTCAAGAGCACAAGACATATACATGGACCTACATATACACATATACATCTATGTATGTATATGTATACGTTTACATATATATACACGTATGTATACATATATACATATATATATGCAGGGAATACACCGGGCATACACATGGATCTACCCATACATGTGCAGGGAATCACTCATAAAATAAGTAAATATAAAAATATATTTAAAAAGGAAGACTTGCAACCCAGACTCTGGAGTTTGGGATCTTGGCTCGACAAGCAGTTGTCAGACGTTGGGCCTGTGGTTTAGCGTCTTCCTAATTCTGTTTCTTTACAAAGTTAAAAAAAAAGTTAGAATGTATCTCACAGTATGGCTTTGTGTGCTGAGTTAATAGATGGGAAAGTCCAGGATCCCCTGGCATATAGTACTCACTGAGAAACTGTTAGCTACTATGGCGGTTATTATTTGGTCAGCTTCCTCAGTCAGGATTCTTGCTAGCCTGGTGTGTCCTCTGTGTCCCCAGAATCTTCAGCTGTTGCTCTGTTGCTTCATTCTCTAATACCTCCTTTCTCCTCTTCATATCCAGAATGTAATTCTTCCTAGATTTCTATTTAGCTTTCTGCTTCCAAGTTAGACAGCCACAGTTTTTGAAAACACAGTCATATAAGTGTTTACCCTGGCAGACATGGTGACTCATGACTGTAATCCTAGCACGTAGGAGGCTTGAGGCAGGAGGATTGCCACAAGCCCAAGGCACACCTAAGCTACATAGTGATTTCTAGGCCAGCCTGGACTTCAGAGTCAAATCCTGTTTCAAAAAACCAAAAATAAAAAACACAAACCAAACAAAAAATGTTACCCTTACTCTGTGCACTGTGCTAAATGCTTTCTTTGTATGAGCCAACTCAGTCTTGGACTTCAGAATCTCCTGCTTCTATCTCCCAAGTGCTAGGATTTAAGGCAGGTACCACCATGCCCTTTAAATTTGGTGCCAGGGGCTAAACCCAGGGCTCCCAGAATGTTAGACAGGCATGCTATCAATTGAGCTATGGCCCAGTTTTGTTTCTTAAATAGGATTATTTTTTACTCTTTCTTATTTACTTTCTTTTTTTTATATCCTAACCAACGCTTCTCCTCTTCTTTTCCCAGCCCCTCCCACCTCCCCTGCGTGCCCTATTCCTTTCTCCTACACTGTTTCCCTTCAGCTAGGCAGGCATCCTATGGATATCAGTCAGCATGTGTATCAACTTGTGGTGAGACCAGGCACCCACTCCTCCACCAAGATTGGGTGAGGCAACCCACAAGGAGGAATGGGTCCCAACAGCAGGCAACAGAGTCAGAGACATCCCCTGCTCTCACTGCTATGATTCCCATATGAAGAGAAGGTTGCAGAGCTATAATACATATGCAGAGGGCCTAGGTTGGTCCAATGCATGTTGCCTGCACTTTTCTGTGAACACCCGAACCTCGACACAGGCGCGCACTTTCCCAAACCGAGCCCACGAGAACGGATTAATATCCTAAAGGGTTGAAACACACAGACACAGGAGACCAGCTCATTCACCAAGTGAGCAAATGGCAAATGGCAACTTTATTAAGCATAAGTCGGGTATATATACTGTGGAGCAGAAGGACACCAGCCCCCCATCAGGAACAGGGAAAGAGAAAAATCAGGCAGCCGCACCCAAGGTCGGAGAGCAGCTGATCAGGGAAAGAGGAAGCCAGGTGGCCGTGCTCAGGGTCAGAGAGCAGCTGACCCGGGAACCTTGCCTGGGTGAGAACCTTGCTTGCAGGTGGAATTACAATAACAGAAGAGGGAGAGTTCTCTCTAAGCTACACCCTCAGACAGCGGAGCAGAGGAACCATTTTGCCCTGCACTGCGCCTCGGGCAAAATGGGGAAAGACCTGTGTACCTACAAGTGCAGGCTCCCTGAGATGGGATTTGGCTATGTAGTCTACAATAGTCTTGAACTTACAGCCTTTCTGTCTGAGCCTCCCAAGTCCTGGCATTGCAGGTATGTACCATCATACCCAGATTTAATATGTTAATTAATAAATAATTTTAAATATTTGAGAGACATGTGATATTTCCACACACAAACGCACTGAAGAATGATGAAGGACAGCTACAATATTTTTGTAGTAAGAGTGTTTGAATTTTAATCTCTTCAGTCTTCGAATACAATGTGTGTTATTGTATGGCCATGCTGCTAATAGATCTCCAGTGAGTATTCCTAACTGAGAGCTGTGCCCTTGGCCAGTGTTTCTCTATTCCTGTCTCAACTCTCTGCTTCCATCGATCCTTGTTTTCAGAGTCCATATGTGAGTCACGTGATGCAATCTTCATATTTCTGTGCTGGTTTGTTTCCCTTCTCACAAGGTCTTCTAGGTTTGTCATATCACATATGACAAGATTTCCTTATTTTTAAAAGGCCGACTACTAATCCTTTAACATATATACTGTGAACTATAGTTTTGATATCCATTATTGATACATGGATAGCCATGTATCATTTATCCACACGTAAAGTCAACTGATGTAGATGTTAAACACATCTACAGGATACCTTCAAAGGGCTGGGGATGTGTCTCAGAGCAGAGTACCCATGTAGCGGAACCTGGGGGTTAACCCTTGGCACTACAAAAACAAAGTAAAAATAAACACTCCCTAAATGCCTTCCCAGCACCACATTGATTAAATTCCTGGTGGCTCAAGCCAAGTCTCATTTAATACTTGAACCTCTTAGTTTCCTCGGCTTTGAGCTGAAGATGCTCATCCCCGCAGAGCTCATGCATGGAGATGTGCGTGAAACAGAAATTTCTGGAGAGCTGAGCGGGATCCGGGCAAAGGCCTTTGCCACAGCCTAGAAGGGCAGCATTTGATGGGCAAAGCAGTTTTTCTACCAACTTAGCATATTTTAAATAAAAGTCATATATTTATTTCAATTAACTAATCAGTTCGTTTTTAATGCTTGGCGTTGAATCAAGGCCTGGAGTTCTAGGCAAGGGCTCTACCACTGAGCTAAGTATAGGCCAGGCTGGCCTTGAACTCATGATTCCCTGGCTTGTGCCTCTGAAGTGGTGATTATGGATATTATCTGCATTCGTCCTCGGTGGTTTTATGTTAACTTGACGCAAGCTAGAGTCACTGGGGAAGAGGGACTCTTCTTACTTGAGAAAAACACTTCCGTAAGATTTGCCTGTAGTTATAGTGCATTATCTTAATTAGTGATT